AATTGACCAGGAAGCCGGCTCCAAGCCAGCTTCTCGGCCAATCAGGAAGCCGGGCAGCGTGTGATGACTCGCTGCCCGGCTTCCCGATACTGGAAGCTCAGGTATCAGGATAGGCATCGAAGCATTTGGGCCAAATACTCGGCATCGGTGCATCCCTATCCTGGATGACAGCTGAATAGCCCTGAGGTGCTCAACTGACTTGAGGGTATTATTGTGATAGTTTAAAAAGGAGAACTATGAGGGGGAGGGGTGTGATTTCCACTCACCTCATAGTTCTAGCCGACCTGTGACAATGAGACTGTCACAGGTCGGCTCAGTAGATCGGAAGGTGAGCGAACACATACCGGCGTTCGCTCTTATTTTTTTGCTGGAGTGGGGCTGTCAGTATGTTAGCTGCAGTGCAGTGCGTTTTTGACGAGTTTTGCGTTTCCTGACCGTACAAAATGTGACATGCAGTATTTTTCTGTCGTAACCTGAACGGACTGCGCACGTGAGAACTGTAGCCCATAATACACATAGGGATACATTTTTAGTGCAGGAGCGTACGGATCCAGTCAGCACAGAACACGGACGTCGTGTGAACAGGCCCTAAGTGCTCAGGAGACCCGTCTAGGATCTGCTTTGATTTGATATACAAATTTGAGAGAATTCAATAAATAAAATGCTATACAATATACGTTGGGGGTGGAACCTATCAAGCTTCATTAGCATTGGAGATTTGTTTTTTTTTCTGAATAAAGGACGGTTTGTATCTTCGGTTACCCTGCAGGTTGTTCATTCGTGTTAGTTTTAGAATATCTTTATGTAAATCAATGACAATATAAACAGACATAACTCTCAGAAGGTTGTACAAAGGGTACTACTCACAGATACACTGGGTATGGTCGGGGTGCTCACCTGCTGTAGAAATGAGAAGGAGAAAGCCATCAATGCCGGGTGGAATACAATGTTGAACGCCCTCTTGTAGGATGAAACGCCGGCCCTTTCGAGGACCTCTGGTGTCATCTTGATTCCTTGCGGATGGGAGTCCAGGCTAAAGGCTTGCGACGTCCAAAGGCATCCCACCATGGCGGTAAGGTATTGATTATACAGTTTAAACGTCTGGCTATTGATGTTTAAAAGGACGCGGGCCTGTACAAAAACAGAAGACGACAAATCAGAAACGTTAATGTACACCGTAGCTTCTCACCAACTGTGAGGCCTGGCAAGTGCGGCTGGATTTTCCTTTGTACTGTGTAGCTACGGCTAGCTGCCACTTGTTTCTTCAGATCAGCCTTTCTCAACCGTGGCACAGTGTGCTCCCTCAATTTTTTGGTAGTGGGACTAAGTGGGGCTTCTGATGTGAAAAGGGAGGACATTTTAATTTTTTGGAAACTAATTTTTTGTGTGTGTTTTTGCGTTGGGTTACCCTTCAAATCTATGAGATTTTAGACAGGGGTGCCTCAATTTTTTGCATACTTTTAAAGGGTGCTGTGTAGAGGGAAAAAAAAAAAAAGGGTTGAGAAACATTGCTTTACAGGGGATATAATTCTGAGCTGCATTCATGGTACAAAAATAAAAGAAAGGAAGAATCCTATGCCTTCGGGTTTTACTGCCGCCTGCAGAGGGAATAGAGATTGGCAAGCAAACTGTAGGTCAGCCTAGGGCAGGGGGTCAGCAACCCGTGGCTCCCGGGGCCGCATGT